TTTTTGTTTTTTTTTTTGAGACAGAGTCTCCCTCCGTCATCCAGGCTGGAGTACAGTGGTGGAATTTTGGCTCACTGCAACCTGGGGTCAAGTGAGTCTCCTTCCTCAGCCTCCCGAGTAGCTGGGATTACAGGCACACATCATCACACACAGCTAAGTTTTGGATTTTTAGTACAGACAGGGTTTCATCACGTTGGCCAGGCTGGTCTTGAACTCCTGACCACAGATGATCCACCTGCCTCATCCTCCCAAAGTGCTGGGGTTACAGGCGTGAGCCACCACGCCTGGCCAGTGTCTCTTGTTTGTTTCTTTGTGATTTTTTGGTTTTTGTTTTTTGAAATAGAGTTTTGCTCTTGTTGCCCAGGCTGGCATGCAATGGCGCGACCTCTGCTCACTGCAGCCTCCTCCTCCTGGGTTCAAGCGATTGTCCTGCCTCAGCCTCCTGAGTAGTTGGGATTACAGGTATGCACCACCACACCTGGCTAATTCTGTATTTTGAGTAGAGACGGGATTTCATCATGTTAGCCAGGCCAATCTCGAACTCCTGACCTCAGGTGATCCTCCTGCCTCGGCCTCCCAAAGTGCTGGGGTTACAGGTGTGAACCACCATATCTGGTGAATGTCTCTTGTTTGTTTCAGTCAGTCCAAGCAGCTTTTGTGGCTTGTGACTACAGTCCACACTGGGAACACTAGGTTCCCTGTCTATGGGATGGGGCTCAGGCCAGTCTTTATTTTGACTGGAAAGGACAACGTCCCAGGGCTGACATCCAACATCAATACTCTCATGTTGACTACACTCAAAGAAAATTTAAAAATACAAAAGGTACATACCGAAAGTCACATTCCAGGAGTCATTTTCATAATCATAAATATAGACTTTTTGAGCCACTACTAACAGCAATAGTGAACTGGTGAAATGTGCTGATGTCACTTCTGGTACTCTGACCTGAAAGTTATCATGTGGATGATATCAGTGAGAGGATCTTTTCAAACACTGATTCAGAAAGCCACGCTTCTAGACATGCATTGAAAGAAAAATTGGCCGGGCGCGGTGGCTCACGCCTGTAATCCCAGCACTTTGGGAGGCCGAGGCGGGTGGATCACGAGGTCAAGAGATCGAGACCATCCTGGTCAACATGGTGAAACCCCGTCTCTACTAAAAATACAAAACATTAGCTGGGCATGGTGGCTCGCACTTGTAATCACAGCAATTTCAGAGGCTGAGGTGAGGGATCACCTGAGGTCAGGAGTTTGAGACCAACCTGGCCAATGTGGTGAAACCCCATTTCTACTAAAAATTCAAACATCAGCTGGGTGTGGTAGCAGGTACCTGTAGTCCCAGCCACTCAAAAGGCTGAGGCAGGAGAATCACTTGAACCTAGGAGGTGGAGGTTGCAGTGAGCTGAGATCACACTACTGCTCTCCAGCTTGGGTGACAGAGCAAGACTCTGTCTCAAAAAAAAAAAAAAAAACATCTCTGAGGCCAGGCATCGTGGCTCATGCTTGTAATTCTAGCTCTCTGGGAGGCAGAGGCAGGTGGATCACCTGAGGCCAGGAGTTCAAGGCCAGCCTGGCCAACATAGTGAAACCCCATCTCTACTAAAACACAAAAATTAGCCAGGAGTGGTGGCTAATTTTTGGGATAATCCCAGCTACTCGGGAGGCTGAGCGGGAGCATGGCTTGAACCCAGGAGACCGAGGTTGCAATGAGCTGACATCAAGCCACTGCACTCCAACTTGGGTGACAGAACGAGACCCCATCTCAAAAAACAAACAAAACAAAACAAACTCTTCTCAGAGGACAAAGCCTAAAGTCTAAATAATGAACGGCTAGCATTAACTGATAAGTGTCACTTTTAGGAGAAATATTGGTATGTTGGTAAATGACAAAACTTTATTTTTATTTATTTATTTTGAGGTAGAGTCTTGCTCTGTCACCTAAGCTGGAGTGCAGTGGCACAGTCATAGCTCACTGTGACCTGTGGCTCCCAGCTGAAGCGGTCCTCCCACCTCAGCCTCCTGAGTTGGTAGAACAACAGGCATGCACCACCGCACCACCGTGCCACCACACCACCACACCTGGCTAACTTTTAAAAATTTCTTGTAGAGTTGGAGTTTCACCGTGTTGGCCAGGCTGGTCTTGAGCTCCTGGGCCGAGGCATTCTGCCCACCTCAGCTTCTCAAAGTGCTGGGATTATAGCAGCGAACCACCATGTCCAGCCCAAAACTTTATTTAGTGTAGGCGTCGATGGTATAATTTCTCAAATACTCACTAAGGGTGTGGTTTTCCTGCTTTGGTTTATGACAATTTGGGGGTCTTTTTTTTTTTTTAAACAGAAACAAGGGTCTCCCTATGTTGCCCAGGCTGGTCTTGAACTCCTGGACTCAGATGATCCTCCTGTCTTGGCCAATCAGTGTGTGAGGATTACAGGTGTGAGCCACAGTACCTGACCAAGGGAGGTCTTGAAATTACTGCATGTAAAGTAAGATACCATCCGACCTATCTATCTATAATATAACCAATGTAAGGAAGAACACCCACATCCACTCTTTTTTCTTTTTCAGGAATAAAAAGTCTATTTTGGCCGGGCGCAGTGGCTCACGCCTGTAATCCCAGCACTTTGGGAGGCCGAGGCGGGTGGATCACGAGGTCAAGAGATCGAGACCATCCTGGTCAAAATGGTGAAACCCCGTCTCTACTAAAAATACAAAAAATTAGCTGGGTATGGTGGCACGTGCCTGTAATCCCAGCTACTCAGGAGGCTGAGGCAAGAGAATTGCCTGAACCCAGGAGGCGGAGATTGCGGTGAGCTGAGATCGCGCCATTGCACTCCAGCCTGGGCAACAAGAGCGAAACTCCGACTCAAAAAAAAAAAAAAAAAAAAAGTCTATTTTGGTAGTAGGAGCAGAATAAAACCAGCCCTTCTTTAGGCTTAGAAATTACCCTTAATATCTTTAAGAGGTACATTGTAAAATAAACCTCTAAACTAACAAAAATAGACTAATCTGATATTTCTGTATTTTCCTCCAAATATTACTTATACTAGCATCCTTCAGATCATTCAGTAAAATAATTACCTGCATTGATGTAGGAATGGCAAATGGAAGGAGACTAGTCTCAAAGTTATTTGTTGTGAAAAAAACTTGTTTTCTGAAACAAATAATAAATGAGTTAAATTAGGATAATGTCACACAAGGAAAGAAAAAAGACTATAGCCGAGTGCGGTGGCTCACACCCGTAATCCCAGCAGTCTGGGAGGCTGAGGCGGGCGGAGCACCTGAGGTCAGGAGTTCGAGACCAGCCTGACCAATATGGTGAAGCCCTGTCTTTAAAAAAAAAAAAAAAAAGAAAGGCCAGGCGCGGTGGCTCAAGTCTGTAATCCCAGCACTTTGGGAGGCCGAGGCGGGTGGATCACGAGGTCAAGAGATTGAGACCATCCTGGTCAACATGGTGAAACCCCGTCTCTACTAAAACTACAAAAAATTAGCTGGGCATGGTGGCGCGTGCCTGTAGTCCCAGCTACTCAGGAGGCTGAGGCAGGCAGGAGAATTGCTTGAACCCAGGAGGCGGAGGTTGCGGTGAGCCGAGATCACGCCATTGCACTCCAGCCTGGGTAACAAGAGCGAAACTCCGTCTCCAAATAAATAAATAAATAAATAAATAAAAGAAAAAAAAGAAAAAAGACTATAGAGGTACTCTATGTTTCCATTCAAACAAAATTTTTATTGTAACCAGGAGTTATTTAGATAAACTTTACTTATTTTGCATAAATAAACCTCTATAGTCCCGGTATTTGACCTCTAGAAATAACAGTTTAAATGTGTGAGCACATCAAATATAAAACTATATAAAATGTACATTGATTGACAGGATGTACTTCAGTTTCATAATTTATATGGCTCTAATTCCACTAAAGTAAATAGTTTCAGATCAGGAATGTGTATGCAAGAAAGAATTTGTTCTTTCAGATAAGAAACTTTTATGTAGGAAAAGGCATCCATGAACATGGTATATAATTTTATCATCCAGGTCTCCTCCCCTGACTCCCAAGAAATTTTATGGTTTTCATTTCATATGGTTTTCAACAGATAAGAATTACTGAGTTAATTCCTATTCCTTTTAATTTTTATTGCCACCCATGAATATTTTTCACAGTAGATTTTTTTTAAAAAAAAAAAAAAAGAGAAAGATGGGTGGTCAGGCACAGTGGCTCACACCTGTAATCCTACTAGCACTTTGGATGGCCGAGGTGGGTGGATCACCTGAGGTCAGGAGTTTGAGACCATTTTGGCCAGCATGCTAAAACCCCGTCTCTACTAAAAATACAGAAATTAAAAATTAGTCAGGCATGGTGGCGCACACCTGTAATCCCAGTTACTTGGGAGGCTGAGGCAGGAGAATTACTTGAACCCAGGAGACAACTGTGAGGTTTCAGTGAGCCGAGATTGTACCACTGCACTCCAGCCTGGGTGACAGAGCAAGACTCTGTCTCAAAAAAACAAAGCAAAACAAACAAACAAAAAAAACATGCCTTTTGCTATGTTACCCAGGGTGGTTTTGAACACCTAGGCTCAAGGAATCCTGCCTCAACCTCCCAGCCATAATTACCTTTTATAATTGGTCTTGGCTGATTTATAAAAGAGCTGCTGATGTGTCTGTGTTTTTCTGCAGAGAGAGTCTCTGTCATCCAGACTTGGGTACAATAGTGTGCTCATGGCTTACTGCACCCTCAAACTCCTGTACTCAAGTAAACCTCGTATTTCAGCCTCCCAAGTAGCTGTGCACACTGCCACCCCTAGCTAATTTTCTGTATTTTTTGTACAGACTGGGATCTTGCTGTATTCCCAGGCTGGTCTTGAACTCCTAGCTTCCAGCGATCCTCCTGCCTTCGCCTCCCAAAATGCTGGTACTACAGGCATGAATCACTGCACCTGAGCTCCAGTCCCCTTTTTGATGCTGCCAGAATCATACAGTGCCCCCATCGTCCACTACCCTCAAGGTGAGGGCAAACATCTTGGCATGGTGTATGTACCTGGTTTTCTAACCTGCTACCCTTACAAACTCGAGTGAATGTTGGCCATGGTGTTTTCATTCTTTTGAGTGCTCTGTTCTAAGTCCATACATATTTGGTTGCTCCCACCATCCCAGTGAACTCCTGTTCATCCAACAAAAGCCAGTTTTGGCATCAACTCCCCGGTGGAAACTTCCTAGGCATTTTCTCCTGAGGCACCCAACAGCGCCTATACCAAGCATCTTTCATTTTTTTTCCTTTGTCTTTTTTCTAGTCCCCAGCAACTGAAGTATTTCTACATACCAAGCATCATTAACAGGTGGCACCACACTACTGCAGTTGTTTTAGTCGCTGGCTGAACTCTTCAGCTCCCTTCCTCCAATTCTAGCCCCTGACTGTGGACTTGTACAGGCCAGCAACTAGCAACACAGGGCAGAGCCATCTTGTTTAATGTTTGTTGAATGAATGAATGAATGAATGAATGAGGGCAAACCTAAAGATTAAATTTACCAGTATTTTTAGTAGAGAAGGGGTTTCAGCATGTTGGCCAGGTTGGTCTCGAACTCCTGACCATGTGTTCCACCCACCTCGACCTCCCAAAGTGCTGGGATTACAGGCGTGAGCCACCGTGCCTGGCCCCTAAAGATGTAATTTAAAAGAAAGATAACAGTACATAATATGGCCGCTTACCCTAGATATAGCGCTATGTTTTTCTTGCAAGGATGTGTAATCAAGCGTGGTGTTGTAGATGAAAAAGACAGGCGGTCCTAGAGAGACAATCACAAAATCTTAATATCAATTACCATAAACAGCTGACAGAAATACTTTTTAGCAGGGACCATTATCAACATAAAGGGTGAAATCTCAATTAGGTAGGTGGATTGTATCAATGTCATTTTCCTGTTTTGAAATTGAACAATGGTCAGATGTGACTGCTGGGGGAAGCTGGCAGAGGGTTTGGGACCTCCCAGTACTGGTTTTGCAACTTGCTGCAAATCTACAATTATAACCAAATAAACAGTTTTTAAAATTCACAGCATAGGCCAGGTGCAGTGGCTCACGTCTGTAATCCCAACACTTTGGGAGGCTGAGGCAGGAGGATTTCTTGAGGCCAGCAGTTCAAGACCAGCCTGAGAAGCATAGCAAGACCACATTTCTACAAGAAATATAAAAATTAGCTGGGCATGGGAGTACATGCCTGTAGTCCCAACTACTGAGGAGCCTGAGGCAGGGGGATGGCTTGAACCCAGGACTTTTAGGATGCAGTGAGCTATGATCTCACCACTGCACTGCAGCCTAGGCAACAAAGAGAGACCCTGTCTGTAACGGAAATAATAATTTAAAAATTAGGCCAGGCACAATGGCTCATGCCTGTAATCCTAACACTTTGGGAGACCGAGGTGAGTGTATCACAAGGTCAGAAGTTCAAGACCAGCCTGGGCAATATGGTGAAACCCCGTCTCTACTAAAAATACAAAAATTAGCCGGGCACGGTGGCAGGCGCCTGTAATCCCAGCTAGTCGGGAGACTGAGGCAGGAGAATTGCTGGAACCCGGGTGGCAGAGATTGCAGCAGTGAGCAGAGATGGCACCACTACATTCCAGCCTGGAAAACAGAGCAAGACTGTCTCAAAAAATAAAATATATTTAAGGGAAGAGTAAAGAGAACACTTGATAAAAACTCAGACCATCTTAGTTGTCTTCCCACCTCTTGGCTTTGTTCAGATTTTTTTTTTAGATGGAGTTTCACTCTATCACCCAGGCTGGAGTGCAATGGTGTGATCTCGGCTCACCCCAACCTCCACCTCCTGGGTTCAAGTGATTCTCCTGCCTCAGCCCCCGGAGTAGCTGGAATTACAGGCGCCCACCAGCACACCCGGCTGATTTTGTATTTTTAGTAGAGTTGGGGTTTCACCATGTTGGTCAGGCTGGTCTTGAACTCCCGATCTCAGGTGATCTGCCCATCTCAGCTTCCCACAGTGCTGGGATTACAGGCATGAGCCACCACTCCCGGCCTGTTCAGATTACTTCATCTCTCTAAACTTGTTTCTCAGTGAAATGGGAAACATTAATCCCTACCTCAAAGGGCAGTGAGTTCTAAGGACTGGATAAAGTAATGATCATTAAGTGCATAACAAGACCAGCACCCAAGAAATAGGAGGAAACGTTACTTCTGATCCTGTAATTAAAGTGAAGGATGAAATTAAGTGTGGAGCCACATACCCCTTGAACATCCTGCATGACATTTAATAATACTTTTCCTGTCCTCACTCTGCGAGCGCTAGAAGTGACAAGAAAGACCATCGGTCAGTTTTTATTGAATATTCAGCATGACGACTCCTACTCAGCCACCTCAGGGTTAACCCTAAAGTATTCAGGGGTTTTTTGTTTTGTTTTGTTTTTGAGACAGAGTCTTACTCTGTCGCTCAGGCTGGAGTGCAGTGGTATAATCTCGGCTCACTGTAACCTCTGCCTCCCGGGTTCAGGCAGTTCTCCTGCTCAGCCTCCCAAGTAGCTGGGATTACAGGTGTGTGCCACCACGCCCGGCTAATTTTTGTATTTTTAGTAGAGACAGGGTTTATCCATGTTGGCCAGGCTGGTCTCAAACTCCTGACCTCGTGATCCGCCTGCCTCAGCCTCCCAAAGCACTGGGATTACAGGCATGAGCCACCATGGCAGTCCAAGTAGCTGTTCTTGATGTTCTTAGGGTTATAGGAGGCTCTAGAAAATTGGATGAGGCCAGTGCAGTAGCTTTACTCCCAGCACTTTGGAGGCTGAAGCAAGTGGATCACTTGAGGTCAGGAGTTCAAGACCAGCCTGGCCAATTTGGTGAAACCCCATCTCTCCTAAAAATATGAAAATTAGGGCCGGGTGCAGTGGCTCACACCTGTAACCCCAGCATTTTGGGAGGTCGAGGCAGTGGATCACCTGAGGTCAGGAGTTCAAGATCAGCCTGGCCAACATAGTGAAACCCCATCTCTACTAAAAATACAAAAAAAAAAAAAAAGTTGTTCATGGTGGCAGGCGCCTGTTGTGGCAGCTACTCGGGAGGCTGAGGCACTAAAATCGCTTGAACCAGGGAGGCAGAGGTTGTAGTGAGCCAAGATCACGTCACTGCACTCCAGCCTGGGTGACAGAGCAAGACTCGTCTCAAAAAATAAAAGGAAAAAAGACATTTGGATGAAACTCCTCTCCCAGAAGCAGACATATGTACACATAAAATGTAGAAATAATTCCTGATTTTTTTTTTTTTTTTTTTTGAGAGAGTCCTGCTCTGTTGCGCAGGTTGGAGTGCAGTGGTGTGATCTCGGCTCACTGCAACCTCTGACTCCCAGGTTCAAGTGATTCTCCTGCCTCAGCCTCCCAAGTAGCTGCAACTACAGGCACGTGCCACCACAGCCAGATAATTTTTTTTGTAGTTTTAGTAGAGACGAGGTTTTATCGTGTTAGCCAGACTGGTCTTAATCTCCCGACCTTGTGATCCCTTTGACTTGGCCTCCGAACGTCCTGGAGGCATGAGCCACTGCCCCAGCCAATTCCCGAGAATTTCTAAAGGCTCATTCACAGACCCCCAGTTGAGGAAGATTATGAATTCCTGCAACAAGGTATTTGAGGGTATTTGTGTGGTACCTGGAAGGATGGTATAGTTTACAACAGAGGTGCTCAATTTTGAATATGCATCTGAATCACTGGGGTTGTGAGATGGGGGGGGGAGTCTTGATTAACCATTGTTTGATGGGTCCCACTGCCAAGTCCCTGACTCAGTAGGTCCAGAAACTGGTGGCATTTCTAACCAATTATAATAAATTCCCAGGTGATCTTGATGCTGCTGGTCCAGGGAGCACTCTGAGAACCCATGTGGGGAAATGAACTGGATATAACCCATCTTTTCAGACCTTGAAACAAATCCTATTAGTAAATTTCAGTGGAAAATCTTTCTCCCCACTTACTAGCTACGTGTTAGGCAAGTGTCTTTTTCCTAATGATGATTTCATACCTATAAAACAAGGGTGTGGGCTGGCACAGTGGCTCACGCCTCTAATCCCAGCACTTTGGGAGACTGAGGCAGGTGAATCACGAGGTCAGCAGTTGTAGACCAGCCTGGCCAACATTGTGAAACCCTGTCTCTACTAAAAATACAAAAAATTAGCTGGGTGTGGTGGCCCATGCCTGTAATCCCAGCTACTCAGGGGGCTGAGGCAGGAGAATTGCTTGAACCCGGAGATGGATGTTGCAGTGAGCTGGGATCATGCCACTGTGCTCCAGCCCAGGAGACTCTGTCTCAAAAAAAAAAAAAATTAAAATAAGGGTTTGGCTGGACATGGGTGGCTCACACCTGTAAATCCTAGCACTTTGGGAGGCTGAGGCAGGAGGATCACTGGAGCCTCAGAGTCCAAAACCAGCCTGGGCAACACAGTGAGACTCCATCTTTATTATTTGTTTGAGACAGAGTCTCCCTCTGTCACCTAGGCTGGAGTGCAGTGGCATGATTTCAGCTCACTGCAACCTCCACCTCGTGGGTTCAAGCGATTTTTCTGCCTCAGCCTCTTAAGTAGTTGGGATTACAGGTACCTGCCACCAAGACCGGCTAATTTTTGTATTTTTAGTCGACAAGGTTGACAGGGTTTCATCATGTGGGTCAGGTTGGTCTGAAACTCCTGACCTCAAGTGATTATCCCACCTCAGCCTCCCAAATTGTTGGGATTACAGGCATGAGCCACTGCACCCAGCCAGTGAGACCCCATCTCTACAAAAAATAATAATAAATAAAATAAAGTTAAGGAATCATTACTCTAGGAATCTTTCTGTAAACATCAAATGAGGCCATACACCCCAAGACTACAGCTCAGAGGTCCCTATTGAATGTGACAGTTTAGTCCAAGTGGGAGTTCCCCAAGGGCAAGAATGACGTTTCAGCAACGGCCCCGCATGGCAGGTTGCAGTATCCCTAACCTAACATTTACCTAAATATAAAAATGTGCTGGGTAAGGCCAGGTGTGGTGGCTCACGCCTGCAATCCCAGCACTTTGGGAGGCCGAGGTGGGCGGATCACGAGGTCAGGTGTTCGAGACCAGCCTGGCCAACATAGTGAAACTCCGTCTCTACTAAAAGTCCCAAAATTAGCCGGGTGTGTGGTGGCGGGTGCCTGTGATCCAAGCTACTCAGGAGGCTGAGGCAGGAGAATCGCTTGAACCCGGGAGGCAGAGGTGGCAATGAGCCGAGATCGCGCCACTGCACTCCAGCCTGTGCCACAGAGCAAAAACTCCGTCTCCACAAAAAAAAAAAAAAAAAAAAAAAAAAAAAAAAAAAAA